GGGGGCTGCGGAGGAGGGTGGTGGTCGAGGCCCTCGGAGCTGTCCTGGAGGCGGCTGGTTGTGGGGTCCTCTGCCGAGGACCCACCGTGTCTGCAGAGCCAGCACGGCTGCGGCCCCCGCGGGCCTCCCCGCCCACGGTCCGGCGGCCTCAGACGTGAGTCTGCATCCGCCGCTGCAGGGGCCGGCTGGGGTCGGAGTTCTGGGAGGAGGACTGGGAGTGGTGGGAGGAGGAGGCCGAGGCCTTGCTCGCCTTGTCGAACTGCACGTAGCCGTCCTGCTTGCCGCTGCTGCTGACGCTGCTGTCGCACTGCGTGTCCAGGAAGGAGCTGCTGTCGCTCAGGGAGCCCCGCTGGAACTCCCGCTCGCAGAGCTCGATGGACGAGCTGCCCACGCCCAGCACGAACCTCTGCCCGTAGTCGTAGAGGCGGCCCTGGCCGCTCAGCGTGCTGTAGATGTTGGTGAAGGACATGCCCGTGGGCACGCGCTGCTTGCCCGCGGGCCGCAGGTCCGGCTGGCAGCTGGACAGCGAGATGGTGGGGGTCGAGTGATGCTCCTTGAAGGTGTTGACGCTGTAGTAGCCGTTGGTGGGGTCCTGGGGGGGCCGGAGGGAGAGCAGCGTCAGGCCACCGGCTCTGAGCAAGGCGGGGGGCTCTCGGCTGAGCCAGTCCCTCCCTACAAGGGGAGGGAGGAAGGGGATGGACGGCGGGGGAGGCTTGGCCTGGGGGGGACTTGGAGCAGAGCCGTCCGGCAGATAGTCGAAGGGGCAGCGAGGGAGGGGAGCACTAGGGGAAGGAGGCAGGATGGGTCCTGGCAAGTACGATTTGGTAAGTCATGGCAGCTCAAACCCATTTGAGCACCAGGATTTCATTGGTTTTTGTTTCTGTCTGGAACATGGGAACTTCATTTAAAAAGTTAGTGGTGAGGAGTTGTGGGAGGGGAAAATTGTGAGGCCTCAGCCTTAACTCTCGCCGTAGTGTTGGGGAGAAAGAGCAGGTGCCTTTGTAGCAGGGAGGGTGTCCACCCTTAGGGAGAGGACAGGCGCCTGTCCCCAGGGTGACCTCTGGCCTTTCTCTTCTCTTTGCTGCCATTGTTTGCCTGGATCTGGGGCTGGAGTCATGAGAGCTGTGTCATAACCTTCTTACCTTCAGGTTCTGAAACTCCTTCTCCTCTTCCTTGAGCACCTCCAGCTGCTTCAGGACTGAGTCTTGTTGGAATTCACCCCGGTCCATCTATAACCCAAAAGTGGCCGCTCAGGGGATAGGAGGTGGGCTGACCGTCCACTTCCCCCCAGGAAAAGCTGAAGAAAGGTACTCAAAAGAAGCTTCCATCTCTGCCTCCCTTCCACCCCTCCCTGCCTGGCCCCTGGAGACAGGTGACAAGAGTCAGGAGGAGATTCCAGACCTCACTGTTGTTCTTGGACCCCCACCCCACCCCCACCCCTCCTGAGCGATTCAGACGGAGAGGGAGGTGGGTGACGGCCAGGTCTCTAAGACCTACGTTCTTCCATTGGGGTAGGGTTATCACTCCCAGAGACCGCACTTTGATTTAATTCAATTCGGAGAGCATTTACTGACTTCCAGGCCAGGCATTGTGCTCAGGGGCAGGCGAGCAGAGTAGATTAAGATACATTAAGAAACACTTGTGCTCAGACATAGCAAACAAACCATGGTTACCAGAGGGGAAACGGCAGACAAGGGATAAATTAGGAGAAGTTTGGGGCTTAACAGATACACACTACTATCCATAAAATAGATAAAGAACAAGGACATACTGTATAGCATGGGGAACTATATTCAATTTCTTGTAATAACATATAATGGACAAGAATAGGAAAAATACATCTCTATGTACATATACATGTAACTGCGTCGCTTTACTGTACACCTGAAGCTCACATTATAAGTCAACTATACTTCAATTAAAATAACAAAATTAAAAAAAAAAGAAAAAACACTTTTGCCACTTCTTCTATTAAGAAAAAAGAAGAAACATTTGTGTTCATCAGGGAGCTAGACCTGTGGATAAACAAGGACAGACCCTCTGGGCAGGGCTTGGGCTCCGCAGGGCAGTTCCTCACCGGTGATAAGCTTCATGAAGGTCTTGAGAAGGAATAACTACCTGTGAGGTGCTGGCAGCTAGGACCTCACCTGTTACTCACAGCAATGATTTCCATTACTCATGTTTTCCTTAACAGAAGCCAAAAAGAGCCTGAGGACAAGGATGGCTTCTTGTTTCTGTTGGGGCCCCCAGCACACCAGGTACAGTGCCTTACAGATCGTGGTCAGCGATCAAAATGCTTTGGGAGTGGAATCATAGTTAACCATGTTGTATTAATTCTTTGATCTGCCAGTGTCCGGTGTGCAGTAGGACTGTCACCAGTGTTAGGTTGATGTCAGATGAATGAAGCAAGTGACGCAGCTCTGAATGACTTTCTGACAATGAAAACAGAGCAGACTTGGCACACAGTGGGTTTGTTAATTAATCCGAACAGCCGGAGCCATGCTTGTCCTGTGGCACAGAATGCCCTTCCACGTAGCCCTTCTGCACATGGCATGATCTAGGCCAGGCTCCCACCCACTCCGGGCACCGGGACGTGTCTTCTCCATCATGACTCATTTCCCCGATCTCTTGTTGGAGCCTCGCAGAATTGGCCAAAGTTCTTGCACCCTGTCACCTCCCTGCTAATGCTGCTTTTTTCCATTTCCCAGTAAATGCTGTGGCTCTATCTGGATTGAATTCTTCTTTCCCACCAGATTCAGCTTCTAAGCCTGACTCGCCTCCACATTGGGGCCGTATAGGGCCGGGAGTGAACGGAGCGAGGGAACAAAGGTCTCCCCAAGGGGAGCCCTCGAGGGGGTCTCTGCCAGGGTTAGCCCCACTCTGAACCAACTCCTGAGTGACCCCCACTCTTTCCTGTGGGTTTGGACTGGGGGGGTGTTGTGGAGGCAGTCTGAGGGGGTCAGAATGTCCCAGTGGGAGGGGATGCAAGGTCCCCTGGGGACAAAGGACAGGCTGGGTACTTCCACGCCAGACTTGGTAAAGCTCATCTACGGAGACGCCCATTCCTGCCCAGGTCTGGGCTGTGGTTCCCTCCCTTGTAAGACGGAATGTTCTGCTGTGTCAGGCACTAAGTTAGGCCTGGAGGGGGTAGGCATTCAACAACTGGGGAGCGTGACCTTTGCCCTTGAAGAACTCTGGGGTAATTGGAGAGGTTAACACGTAATTAGAGCAATGCACTGTGAAGGAAAAAAAAATTTCTAGCCATATCAGTAAACAAAGGTGGCTGCAGCCATCAAGTCGTCAGCCACTACTACCGCCCAGATGGTGATCGGGGAACTCAGGATGGAGACAAGCAGGCAGCCTGGCCTCTGCAGACACCCCTAGCAGTGTGCCCTGAGGGCCCTCGGGATGGGAAAGAGGACACTGGCCCTAGAGAGCTAGGTGCATATCAAAGGAATGATTTCAGTGAGCCCAGACTTTTGCACCTTCCCATACACAGAAGAGTGCTAAGTTCCTTAACTTGAGATGTCTTTTCTTTAATTAACAGTCATCCTTTAAAGTTCTGACTACCTGGTCTTTGTTGCAAAAACTCCTAGATATCCTGGCTCCTCCCCTGCCTCTCCAGAGCAGTCTTAGAGCCATCTGAGAGGCCAGCTCTGGGGCTTGATTCCTCAGAAAATCCATCAAATAAAACACAATTCTCAACTTTTAGGTTGTGTGTTTTCTTTCAGGCGACAGCACCATGAAAGAGGAGTGTGCAAAGTGTTTGTGGGGGGCATGGTGGTGCAGAAAGTTCCCAGCTCTGCCAGCTATTGAGGGACAAGCCTGGAAAATTACAGAGGAGGTGACATTCAAGCTGCTTCTCATAGGAGAATGTGAAATTTGACAGACAAGACCCACAGGTAGAGAGAACAGCAACGCAAAGCCTTCGACACATGGAAGACTCAAAGGCTGGGAATGCAAGTTCTTTGGGGTGTTGGAGGACTGGGTGCCTTTGGCATGAAGATGGAGCCAGACAGACTGGCAGCCGCCTCCTGATAAAGGGCCCGAGGACACGCTCGGCGGTGGGGCTCTCTAGCAGACCTGGAGCCACTGGGGAATTTTAACAGGACCAGGGCAGTAACAGGACCAGATCTGCATCTTAGAAGGACCCTTTGTGGGACTCTGTGGCACGGACTGAGGAATGTGGTGAAAGGCTAGAATGAGAGACCACACAGGAGGATGCTGCCATAGACTGGGGGAGCCTCGGAGAGGCCCAAACTGAGGAGTAACCGTGGAGGACAGGCAGGGGCACAGATTTGAAATGTTTTGAAGCAGAATTGACAGGATCGGAAAATCAACGGGATAGAAAAAGAGCAGCAGAGAAAAGGTCAGTTCAATCCACTAAGTGCTGGTGAGCATCTGCCAGGGGCTGTGTGAAGGCTGTGGGGACACGGGGATGGAGAAGGCAGCTTGCTCACCATCTAGTGGAGACAGATAAGGAAGCGGGTGATTTCACAGCAGCGCCAACAGCTACCATTCCCTGAGCGCTCACCGTGTGCCGGGGCGGGGGGGGGGGGGCTCCAGCCTCTTCTGGGCTTGACTCACTCAGCCCTCACCCCTGCCTCGCGTACCCTGACCTTCGTCCCATTTGCTCGACAAGGAGTCTGACGCACAGGGAGGCCCAGGCTCTTTACCCACTTGATTGCTGCTGCTACTCCAGTATGTCACAACCGTGACGCAGTATGTGCCTGGGTTTTCCAGGATTCTGCCTGGACAGGTGGGTGGGTGATGGTGCATGAGTGGGGAGTTGGAGGAGGAGGAGTGGCTTTGGGGTGGCTGGAAAAGTCATGAGTTTGCTTCTGACAGGCAGTCTAGTCCCTGAAGAGGAACCTGTGCCCACCGCAGACTTCTGGGGGAGTCGGGGGAGCAGGGGAGGGACCTGATACTGTAATAGCTCTGTGTGTGTGTGTGTGTGTGTGTGTGTGTAGAATTACACGTCATATCACAGCATATTACAGCCATTTATGCCCGTCTCCCCTCCCCATGGAATAGCTGGGGTCTCTGAAAGCCAGGACTGCGTCTTAGATACCTTTGATCTCCTAGAACCCCAAGCACAATACAGTAGACACACAATAAACCTTTGCTGGCTGAGAATACAAACATACTTAGTTTTACTGTGCTTTACAAATATTTCATTTTTTTTTACAGATTCAAGGTGTGTGGTAACCCTGCCTCGAGCAAGTCTGTCGGTGCCCTTTTTCCAACAGCATTTGCTTACTTTGTGTCTCTGGGCCACATTTTGGTAATTCTCACAAATTTTTAAAGTTTTTCATCATTATCATATTTGTTATGGTGATCTGTGATCCGTGGCCTCTGATGTTCCCTGCGACGACTTGCTGAAGGCTCAGAGGATGGTTAGCATTTTTTAGCAATTAAGTACTTTTTCATTAAGGTATGTACATTTTTAAAAGACATAATGCTATTGCACACTTAACAGACTATAGAATAGATAAACATAACTTTGGTATGTACTAGGAGACCCCCCAAGCTTCTGTGACTCGCTTTATTGTGAGGGTCTGGAGCCGAACCTACAATGTCTCCTAGGTCTGCCTGTAGGTCCCTGGCTTATTATGGGAGGGGGAGAAGGGAGCATGTCTCAGCTGAAGCTTTGCTTCTCAGGGGCATTAGAGCATCCGGAAGCCCCTGGTCCTGGGAGCTTCAGGGCACAGAGGTCGGGGCGGGATGGGGAGCAGACCGCATTCTCACCATCAGCTGCTTGATGGTGGGGTGTTCCTCAGCCTCCCGGCCAGAGGCAGGCTCCTTGTGGACAATCTCGACTCGGATATCATTCTTGGCTGACACAACACCTTTGAGATCTGGACATAAAATAGGAAAGTGTAGACAACAGATTCAGTTGTCATCACAGGCATTAGGGCCCGAGATGTCAAGCTCCCCCACCCCTTGAGTTTACCCTCCAGCCCCTGAACTCCGCAGTTCATGCCACCCCCTGCCCCCCAACAAGAGAACAGCTGTCTGGACACGCTGTGGGCTGCTGGGGCCTCAGAGCGCTTTCTCTGTTGGCTCCTGGTTGCACGCCCCTCAGCCTCTCACTGCTCCTCCCATGGCTTGGGAGGTCATTCTCATCCATTTGCCCACTTTGTCATCCTACTAACTTCTCATCTTCTAAAAGTCTTCCCTGACCTACTTCACCAGGCTCTGATCTCTCTGTTCAGAGAATCACACATCTGACAGTTAGAAAGGGCCTCGAGATCCCATGATCAACCTCCCGCCCAGAGCAGACACGTCCCTGCACATGGTGGTCCAGCTTCCGTGATGGTGTCAACCCTTCCGTGATGGAGAGCTTACAGCTTCTGGGGGAGGAAGCTGACTTATACCTGGAGAGCTCCGTTAAAAAATTCTTGCTAAAATATGCTCCCCTATGCTGTCCGCTGAGAGGGTGGCGAGGGAGGGCCTGAGATGGCATCACTGGGGGCAGTCAAGAGAGCAAGGCTGCTCAGGTTGGGTGGTGGATACAGGCAGCTTTCTGCCAGCGCGTAAAGGCTGCCAAGTGGACGAGGGGCAGGCTCACCCTGATTATTCCTTTTGTGCCTTATGCTCGTAGATGTTAGAGCCAGGTAGGGCCCTAAAACTACGTCATCCACCCCCTTGCTATTACCCGGGAGGAAACTGAGGCCTGGAACAGCTGTGGCTTGCCCGGGGTCACAGGGTAGAAGAAGTAGGACCAGAAGACTGTCTGCATTGTTTCCACCACCCCATTTTACCCTTCCACATATCCGTCTGTCACGCATAACTTCAGAGCTATGCCCAGGATGGAAGCTCCGGGCACACAGGATTCAAGAGAGCATAAACACCAGAACTTTATTGCTAATGACTAAAGACCTTTAAAAGTCTGCACAAAGCAATTCCTTGAATTTTTTTTCTTTTTCATGTGTGTGGGTGACCTGCTTTTCTGGTTAGACTAGCAGATCTTGGAGGGCAAAGATCACCCCCCTCCCGTCCCCCGGGGCTTCTCTGCATTTCCCGATGGACTGAACGTGCTGTATGTGCTCAATCCAAGGTGCTAGCTGACGGCCCTGCCGGGTGTAGTTCATCTCCGTCCAGCTCAGCATCAGTCCACGTGCCCACTCTGTGCCAGCTGCTGTGCAAAGCACTGCACGTAAAAGGCTCCATCAGACCCCATCCCTGCCCCAGCGGCTCGCAGCACCGGTAGGGCCCCTGCTCGTGGCACTCCTGCTTACTTGCTCTCCGGGGCAGTCTAAGCCTGGCCTTTTTCTCTGTCCCCCTCCCTGAGCTCCCGGGTCTCCCTCCCGTACTTCTCTGGGAGCGGGCACAGCAGAAGGCCACGATGGTTGCCAGAAGGACGAGGAAGGCCACGCCGGCTCCTACAGCCACCCCGATGATGACGGCCATCGGCACAGACTCTGTGGGGGAGAAGCGGGTGCACTGAGGAGGGAGCTGGGACAGCCCACTGTCCCCCCCGATCTCACAGTTCCCTCGGGCACGGCCCCTGCCAAGCTGGGGGTGGAGCGCTGCGCGTGGGCGCTCCCTTGAAAGGCCGAGGAGGCCTGGGCAGGAGTCCAACAGGGGTCAGCTCGGGCGGGGCTTGGGGTGGAGGAGAGGGCAGGGGAACTGGGGGACGGGAGCGGTGGTGGGGGGAGAGGAGGCAAGCAGACACGGGGAGGGGGTGGGGACGCCGGAGGTGAGAGGCTCGGCTGGTACAGTTTAGCTCTTGGCGGGATTAAACCAGGAGCGTTCCGTCCTGCAGCGGCTGCGGAGTCAGGAGTCCTGGCTTTTCTTTGAAAATTGACCATGGTCACTGCTGCTATTTATTCGTTTGCTTTTCCCTTCTCTTCCCTTCCCCATGTGCTGAGAGGGTGGACACCGACAACCAGCTGTTAGAGAGTTTTCAGGTCTGAGGCAGCCTCTTCCCGGGGCCTGGACATCACAGGCAGTAGCTGCCAGAGGCCAGGTCTTGGGCCGGGGGTGCGGACCACAGCTGCCCCACCTCTTTAAGGAGCGATGCCCAGTCCTGCTCCCCCTAGGCCAGTCCTCTGGGCAGGAATCCCTGCACACCCCCACCCCAGCCAGGCAAACCTTCAGGCTGCTGAGCGTCTGTAGTCTGCCTCCTGCCCTAGCCAAGTAGAGACGGGGTGGAGAGGGTGACATTGGGCTGGGCTGTGGTGGGTGCTTTCCAGACAGTACTGACCCTTCTGTAGAGGCTGCGCAGGGGGCCCGAGCACATGATGTGGGACCCTGAATAGTGCATAGGGGAATAAAAGTAGAAAACGCAGGGGCAGGAAGAGCTTAGGGCTCAGAGTCTAAGCCTCCCACTGATGGATGGAAGCCCAGAGGTCCAGAGAAATCAAGTGACTTGGTTAAGGACACATAGCTGCAGTAAAGCCAGTGTAAGTCCAGGTCTGCCCTTATCCGCCCCCTTCATCTTGCCCAGCTCCGTGCACTGCATCACATGGCATCCTCCAAGTCTCACGCGCTCTGCACAGCCCAGGTGCCAGGCTGTCTTCTGAGCAATGCATGTTACCTCTCTTTTCTTATCTGTAAAATGGGATACTTACAGTGCCTGCCTCAGGGGGGTGTTTGGAGCTTAGATGAGTGAATGCAGGTGAAGGCTGGCACTGAGCCTGGCGCCCAGGCCTAGCCAAGCCTTTGCTCCAGTGTCTGTGTGGGAAGGGGGCCTGCCGCAGACGCAAGGGGAGCAAGGCCCTTTCCGAGGCTCCGCCCCACCCCACCACGCCATGCCGTGTTCTCGGTGTGGGTGACGGGGCATGTCCAGGTATTTGTCTCGGGCTGCGGGTTAGCCTCTGGCCTGTCACTGTGGTTTTCTTTAGAAAGAGGAAGAGAGGTAGAGCACCACAGAGAGACACTGCTGGGAGGAGGGGGTCCCTCCCCAGGGGGAGGGGCTGCCCCATGGTTGGCAGTGTTGGCAGTCACACGGGGGCTTTCCTTCCAGCCCAGGACCTGCACACTGTGCATTCATCATCTGTCTACCGGCGGCTGGGACCCCGTAGGACAGCAGGGGGGATGACGGGGGAGCAGGTACGGCTGAAAATGGGAGGTGTCTGGGCTGGTGTCAACAGTCAGGAGTGAGAAGAGATGCTTGGCCTCAGCCAGCCCGTGAGCTTGCTCTGCGAGGTGAGTCTGTCTCTGGGCTTCAGCTCCATCAGGAAAGGAAAGCTGTTGTGGAAGCTCACTGGTTCTACGCTTTAGAATTTTATTAATGTGAGTTGGGTTTGGTTTCTCCTATAGACTCCTAGGAATTTTCCTTGGAAAAAGTCAGGTCTTTTCTCAGCTGAGCTCAGAGCCAGAGGATGACAGTGGGACGTTCCTTAACAGGGCCTCAGTGTTTCACCTGTGAAACCCGAGTACCAGGAAGTGGCATCTGAGGTGTCTTCTGACTCCGGCATCCTGTGAAGCCAGATTTCCTTAAGCGGTCAACAGCTGAGGGGAGTGGCGGTGGGGCACCATCTTATCTGAAGAACTGCCCTGAGTGGGTGGGTGGGGCAGAGGGAGTCCCGCGGGGGCAGGGGCCCAGGGGTCCGGGGCGGCACCCCTCAGCAGCCTCCCTGTGCGTGTTTGCTCCTTGCCTCGGTCACCTGTGTCGGCTGCCCCTCTCCCGACAGAGCTCCCCTCGGATGTCCCTGAGAGGGAGAGGAGGAAGGGGCTGCCCTCCGGCTCAGCCTCCTCTCCATCCGAGGAGGTGGGTTGGGTACGAGGAGTCTCAGCCACCAAGGAAGCTGTCAGGGAGCTGAGGGAGTCTCAGCCACCAAGGAAGCTGTCAGGGAGCCTTGACGAGTGTGAGCCCAGATGAGTGTGCAGACAGGTGAGGTGCAGACAGAGGGCGGCACCAGCTCAGCACCAGGAAGGGCTCTGGGGGGCATCAGGGAGAACACTGCAGGACTTGACACTGTGTCGCCTCTGTGAGTTTACCTGTGCTCAGATTGGTGCTCTTAAAGGGGACGTGCACCCAAAGGGGAGGGGGCATGTGGGCCCCACAAGGAACTGACTGGCCCCAGCTCCTTCTGGGCCAGCGCGGTGGGAACAAGGGTCTGGCCTGCAATGTCCTGATTCTCTTTTCTGGGTTTCTGCCTGAAGGGTGGGGGCACCCGTTTCCCGTGATGTCCCAAGATAGAGCAACTCGACTCAGGGAGCCTCGTCACCCCTTTGCTGCCAGGTGCCTCGGGAGAGAGGCTCTGCCCGGAGGCCTCAGGCTGGTGGTGAAATGACAACTCCATGGGGAATGCAGGAGCGGGGGTTGGGAGGGTGGAGCTGGCCAGCACAAAGCATGGGGTTAGCATGGATGGCGCAGGCCATGGCAGGGCTGGGCGGCCCTGGTGTCCTCGAAGCGATGGCCACGCTGGTGGTGATGTTGAGAAGCAGGAGGAATCAGGCAGGGCGAGCTGACCCCAGAGGGGAGGAGCCAGGGCTTCAGAAGAGAAGGGATGGGAGAAAGTTGGGGCAGGAGCCAGTGTCCTGGGCTGCGAGGAGCCTGTGGGCTGCGAGACAGGTCTCTGGGGTCCCTAGACCCGTGCTGGTTGGGGACCCTCTCCCTGCTTCTCTGACTGTACTAAACCCTCAAGATGGGGGGTGGGCAGAGAAGTTAGTGGCCTACACCGGCCTCCCTACCCCCATTTTGGGCTCCCTCCCCTACTAGCCCAGCAGTCCCTTCTCCCGTCCCGGGGGCTTCTCATGTCTCCTTCCTACCTGCTTCCAGCCCGGCTCCCGACTTCATTTCCGAACCTGTTTGGAAATAAAGGAAGCGTCCACAGCCAGGACCTGGCTGGCCAGGGTGGGGTGGGACTGAGGGGTGGCCATCGGGAGGGGCTGGGGCGGGGGCTCCCTCCTGCATCACGTCTCCGGGACGCCTCACAGATCCAGGCTAGCCAAACTGAACTTGGAGTTCGTTCAGACTGACTTAGAGACTCCAGAGGGGTGGGACCCGAGAGAGAGGTCACGGTTGAGTGTGGGCGGGGTTCTGAGGAGGCTGGGGTGAGAGCACTAAGCGGAGGGCATGGGAGTGGGGGAGCTGAAGGGGAGACACGGAGGGCAAGCAACAGGGGACCGGGAGGCTTGGGATGATGTGTGGATGATATTATGCAAATTATGTGCAAAGCATTATGCAAAGCAGCGCCTTTTAGGGAAGAGGTGTTGGGAGCAATGCGTGATCCACAGGGTAGCACTGAGGTCCCAGGGGCCCAGCCTAGACCACCTGCTCAGCCCAGACTCTTCCAGGGCCTGATGGCCTGTGGGTGGGCCTTCCTCTTGGAGAGAGTCAGAGACCGCCAGGGCTGCGGCCCCCTGGATCGGCCTGTCTGCCTGGACTTAACCCCTGCTGGCAGAGGGGCTAGATCTGCAGCCCATCTCAGGACGCAGCGTGCTGCTGGCTGTCTGCTGAGCTTCTCCGGAGCCCCCTCTATTCCTCTCCAAGGCTCTCGGCCCTCTGGTCCAGGCTGAGAACTCGGAGCCAAGACTAGAGTTCTTAGCATCTCCTTTGACCAGGAGCTGGGCGGTCTGCACACGGGGTCACAGCAGGGTGAGCCTTCCTCCTGCCACCTCCTCCCTCCCACCCGGCTGGCAGCCCTGAGCCCCTCTGCCCAGCGCTGCCCTTCTGGTTGGTGTCTCCGTCAGTGCACAGTGGTCCCTGGGTCTCCTGTGTCTCCCAGGGAGCTGCAGACAGTCCGACTGGACAGCTCAGGTGCTACCTCCTAGCTTAGCGCAGGCACCCTCGGGGGACTTTTGGGAAAATGTTCTGGCTTGTTATCTTAATGGGCTAGGCCAGGTTCCCCAGCATCTGTCTGGTGCGTCGCTGGTGAGGGGCGCTCCTCGGGGATCCCACCCCTGAACTACTGAGGGCCAGAGGCAGGGCCTTTAGGAAATGTGGGGCAGCTCATCCTGGCCATTAGCTCGGCCCCCTCTGTGGTCGCCTTTCCTTGAAATCTGGGTCGATTGCCCAAGGGGCCACCACCTGAGCAGCTCTCCTCCCCGCTGGCTTCCTGGTGCAGGCCATTGGCCCTGGCCTCGGGGGAGCTGGGCTGAGGAGGGCCACTCCCGCTGACCAGCCCAGGCTGCAGGCAGGTGGGAAAGGGCCCTGACCCGCCTGTACCCTGTAGGCGCTCTTTCCCCTTAGGACCCTGGAGAACCTGGCCTGGGGTGCTGCCCTCAGCGGGGAGAGGCCGGTGGCCCGGCGGCCCAGGCAGCCCCACCTTGCTCCTTGAGCCTGATGATCTCCGTGTCGGAGCCAAAGCTGTTCCAGGCGGTGCAGTTGTAGATGGTTTGGAAGTCAGCCCGCACAATGTTGCTGATGGTCAGCGTGGAGATGACGCCCTCCTCGGTGCTGACCGTCTCCACCGTGTAGCGCCCAGACGTCCCCGACTCCAGCACGTTCTCCTTCCAGGACCAGGCCTGTCCGGGTGCGAAGAATTAGGAGGACATCCCGACAGAGCCACCCCGCCAGGTCCACCGGGCCACCTCCCTGCTCCGGGGTGGGCGCTGCCAGGCTCATGGTCATGCTCACTGCGCAGGGCACCCGCATGTGTACAGAAAGGTACATGCACACATCATGACACGTATGCACACAGCACAGTACACACACACATCACAGCACTGGTACAGCCCCGCCCCCAACACGGCGCCAACACGTGCACACACAGGTCCACACTCATCACTACACACAGCATACACATAGGCAGGGCCAACTTGGAGGGTATTTTTGTCAACCAGGGGCCTTATGTGTCTCTGTCCTGGAACATTTTCCCAGGCAAGCAGGGGACTCTGGGGCAGCGGTGGGGGCCCCTCCACCAGCAGGCACCCCTGACAGGCAGAGTGGAAGGCCAGCCCCAGAGTGACTGAGTCTGGTCTGTTTGTACAAACGTATGTTCCCAGGGTTGCATCTGTGAGACTCTTTATCTTGGTTTACAAGGATGACCGTTTAACCTTCCTCAGGGCCGTTTCCCGTGCACAGTGAGCGCCCACCCCACCCCGGCTGCAGTGTTTGTGGGATCGGGGCAACACGGCCAGTGCTGCGGGAGGTGGGGGCGGCTGAGCCGGGAGCGGCTTCCCGGGCTCGACACCGCTGACTTTCCGGACCCGACCATTCTTGGTTGTGGGGGACTGTCCTGGGTCTATAGGATGTTGGGCTGCATCCTGCAGTGTCTCCAGGCATTGCCAAATGTCCCCTGGGGGCAGGGCCGCCCCGGTTGAGTTCCATCTCCGTGAAGAGAGAGACTGTGTGAACATGCTCAGGAGTGAGTGGGATTCTACAACAGGCACGTGTTACACTTACAATTAAAAAAAAATTGAGGAGCGAAGGGAACGGGGAGGCGTAGGTACTAGTTCAACGCGTGAATTCTTGCCATTTTTGTGTGACTCAGACGGTGAATGAACCGAACGTCTGAGGAAGGGTGTAACAGTGATGCTCTTACAACATCTCAACTTCAGGGTGACATTGGATTTGTTGGGCGTATGCCCCCACGCCCTCCTTGGCGCTGCCAAGCCCTGTGAACTTGACCCGGGGGCAGTCTTCTGGGAGGACTGCCTGGGCACTGAGTCTCACTGACAACATCCCATCCCCCGCCCCCACAGTGCTGGGAGATGCTCGCCTCCCTCGGTTTCCATGCCCTGGTTTCCACCAGTTTCAGCTGGACTTGGATGGAGGACCCTCGCTTTTACAAACGGAAATACCCGGGCGGGTGGTGGGGGGGACCAGGTGTGAGACCCTCAGGCAGCCTGGGCTGCCCTGCGGGGATGAGGGTTTTGAAGACGGGAGGGAGAATGGAGGGATGTCTTTAGAGGGAAAACTCAATAAACGGGGCAGCGTTCTCTGTGGACATCAAAGCAGAGGAGGCCGATAGAGGGCTCCGGGAGGTGCAGAAAGGGCTTTGCCAACTGCAAACTGCACCCTGTCCACGATTTGGCTAAAGGCTGGCCTTGGACCCAAGAGAGGGAATACATTGTTTATTGTTTCCTTCTGCTGCCCTCACTGGCCCGTCTGCCTCCAGAATGCAGAATGCGGTTGGAACGGTTCACGTGGGCGCACAGCTGAGGGGCAGAGCGGAGTCAAACACACCTGCAGGCGAGGAGCACAGCCTGCCCGGAGACAGGAGGCTGCCTGTGATTTTCGTCTTCACGATGCCTTTCCAAGAGACACAAGGCAGGAATAATTTTCCCCACCAAGGAAAGGCAACGCAGAGGTGTCACTGGCCAGCCTGGGGGTCGCGCAGCTGTGGGCAGAGATGAACCGCCAGGCTGCCCAATGCACTGGCCGTGCCCCTCGCCCCCCTGCCCTCCCTGGAGCACTCACAATGCGGTCGGGTGGCGGCGTGCTCCGGATGAAGCACTTGATCTGGCCCTTCTCCCCGTGCAGGGCATGCTGGGTCTGCGTGCTGGAGATGATGGGGGGTCCTGTTGGGGAGACAGCGGCTCATCAGAGGCCCTGGCTGGGCCCCTCTTGGCAGATTCAGAAGTTTATACCTTCATTAACTCATTCAGCAAACATTTACTGAAGGCCTATACCTGCAAGGTGATGGGCGAGCAGGGGACTCAGAGATAAACGAGGCCTTCTGCCATAAACCTCTCAAGGGATCTGAGTAAGCACTTCTAAGTCCGACACCCAGAGACGTAAATAACTAATAAAAGGTGGTGAAGTGAGCTGTGTAGACGAAGCGCTAACCGATTTTAGAGGGGAGAGAATAACCTACCTGGCAGGTGGGGAACGCTTTAGGAAGGAGGTGGTAAGCCTGAGAAGGGAGCTGGGGAAATGTCAGGAAGCATTTAATGTCACCTCTGCTACCTTATTGTCACCTCCGTGGGAACCTGCAGTTCAATTTCAAACTATTCCATCATATTTCCAGTAGAGGGCGCGCTTGCCCTACAAACTGGCATCCTTGGCAGGCCTGGCAAACCGGACAGGAAGAGAAATAAAAGATGTTCCTCCACCCGGTGGGGAAGCACCCTGCCTAGATGGACTGAGCTGGGCACACTGGGGGCCTTCATCTCACAGGTGTCTCAGGAGCTGCCTTAGCTCATCCCTGGCCTGCCTGCACGTACATATGCGGACACCCAGGAGGGACCATGTCTCCAAAGCTGACCCCGACTTTATCCCACCCAGCCCAGGCTTGGGTGCTTGTGTCTGTCATGTTTACGGATGTCTCTGGGAACACCTGTTTCATCTATGGCGTTGGACAGCCCGGAGGGCCCACCAGGAATCCAGCAGGGCTCTCTGTCCAGTTCTGCCTGTTATCTAACCCAAGTCTCTCCTGCGTGATGCCCACCTGGCAGTGAGGGCGGGCGGAGGAGCCGCTGGTTCCTGGCTGGGCTGGGCGGTTGAAGCAAGGGATCTAGAGGTGGAGACCCTAGTGCCCCTCTCCTGATCCCTGGGGTAAAACTGGGGGCTTAGGTGGCAGGAAACAGGAAAGGGAGCTAGAGCAAGGGACCTGGAGGACAGGCAGATTTATGCTGGGAACAAAACAAAAATCACTGCAAACATAATTGCTGTTTATTAGCCAGTTTAATTAAAACAGATTTGCATTTCTATGAGTAGCTCTCAGCCAAGGGGAAAAAGGTACTGGGAGACACTCAGGTGACTCCTATTGAGTTAAGGCTGTCACATGGCTTGGAGCTGGGTGAGGCAGGTGTGGGGGACCCTCAAGATAGGGCTTCCACTCTCAGAGGGCTTTAAGAGTTCCTCTCTTTGACCCAAAGCCAGGAAGGCTTGATGCTTTTAGGAACTTGGATGGGGCTCTGTTTTGCTGCTAGGCTGAAAGTGATGATACCGTAAAACCTTTTCCCCTTCACTTCCCAGGAGCTAGGATTTCCCTGGGGGGTTCTCAGCTGTTCTAACAGCAATCAGGCAAATACATTCTTTTTTAAAAGTCTTCTCGAAAGAAAACGGAAATCAGGATAAGGGTAGATGGGGTTGGGGGAACCAGGGGGCAGCAGTAATATGGTCTGTCCATCTCCCACTCCCTGCAGATCCCAGGTTTGAGCCAAACCAGCTAAAATCTGTGCCGGTTTATTCCCCACAGGGCAGCGGCCAGCAGTCATCCACTGGCTGGGATGTGTTCTGATGAGAACCTCATCTCATTCTGGATCCTTTCATAGGTCGATCCCTTCAGCCTCGTCCAGGCCCTGCCCAAAGGGTTTACCATCCCTCCACCTGGTACAGCTACAGACAAGTCCACTCCCAAGTCCACTCCGGTGTGAGGCTAGCAGGTTCCCCTCTGGGCCACTCAATCCATCCCCCTGCCTCAGGGCGAGATGACCCTCGTTCAGCAGAAACAAGCAAACAGCCTCCTTGCTTGACTCTAATCTCCTGAGTGTTTCTCTTCCTGGTAGCCTAGGGGAGCTTGTACCGGAAGGGTTGGAGGCTGAGGAAGGGGTTGGAAAGATGAACCCTGGAGGGTGCACATTAAACCCTGGACAGACACCAGGGCTCAGGCCCGGTGTCCCATCCAAGAGGAATATCCCTCAGAGGCGTGTGTTCCTTCCTCAGGAAACCGCTTTGAATCTGTTGAGAAATGCCTGAAATTCTGCAGTGACAACGGAATGTCAGTCCCTCCTTTATCCACAGTGTTTTCCCCAGAAACGAGGATGCTCGTTTAAAAGCTTCAAGCTTGGGGACACCAGGAGCCTTGCGTGAGTCTGAGGGTCCCGAGCCCGTGGTCACGGGCCAGCACGACTCCCAGTGCCCTCCGGGAGTGGGCAGCGGGGGAGGCTGCTGATTTCACCGGAGACTGGCTCCTGAGCTGCGTGTCAGACACCAGAGCCGGCAGGAAAAGGCTGCAGCTTGGTTGCCATGGATATATGGAGGCGCGATCAGATGCTGTTATTTTTAGCCCTGCAGTGCCAATTTATTGGTGGCGTCCTGGGAACACGTAGGAAAGGCAAGAAGGCTTCCCAAGTCAGGGTTCTGCCCAGGACAGACGGCTGTGGGGTCCGAGTAGCATAGCCCCCACTCTGGGGTTGCCGTGACTCTTGTAGAGGGGTGGGGAGGAAAGGGAAGAGACGAGAGGGGCTGGCTAGCGGGGCCAGCAGAGGGGGTGGCTGAGGGAGCACCAAGCTGGATTTGGCTTCTAGTAGAGGGGAAATAGGTGAGGCTGTCCGTGGGCAGCTTCCCGGGTTGAGATAAAGGCACCTGGGCTGATTTCTGGACCTTAGCTCAGTCCCTCCCTAAGGCCCTGATCTGGGTCCAGACACAGAGGCCCTGCAGACGTGGGTCTGTGGTTTGGTTCCTGCTGGGGCTCAGAGCCTCGGGGGCTTTGATCGGAGACAGACTACTTGGCAGCAGGGAGCTCGCAAGGAAACTGAAACCTAGCTGAGGGAGGACGTCAGGAAACACAGAGGGAGCCGCCTTAGCCTCTTCCTCCTCTCAGACCAGCGGCCCAAACACGCTTCACCACAGGGACATGGCATTTCCATCCTGGTGCCACAGCCTCCTTGGGTCTGATCTGAGCTAGGACTCAGCTTCTCTGTGACCTTCAGCATCCCATCCTCCAGGCCCCATCCCCTAAATGTCTCTGTAACTGTCACCCGCTAACTCACACTGTGTTCTTGGAGAGAGATGGCGATGCTCTCCTGTGAGAATGACTTTATTATGTGTAATGAGACACGTTCATTGCCCTCAGGGGACCCCCTGAACTTGGTCTCGTGGGGACGGTGGCAGATTTTCCCCACTGAGCGGCTCTAATTCAATAGGAAGAGGCAGACTAGGTGTCACAGAGATGCCCCCTTAAATTTCCCACCAGGGCCAAGGTCAAGGTCAAAGGATGGCTGTGGATTTGATGTTGGCTGCCCAGTGACCCTCTGACCCTTTTCTCCTGGCCAGGAAATGAATTTATCAGCCACCACTCTTAGGGCTGAGATCCCTTAGAAGGGGCACAGAGGAGGGAGGTGACCAGAAAACCGCCCAGGTCCTCCCTTACCTTGGGGCTGGCCCGCACATGGACTGGATGAGGTGGACATAATTACTATGGACCAACATCAGCCCCATGGGGCAATGCCTGGGATCAGGATGACTTGGGTGCCTCTCGGCGGCCCCCCCTCACCGTGCCCGCCCTGGCATAAGTAGGGTCTTACCATTGACAGTCAGGGTCACCTCTCGCTCCCCGGCCCCCACCCGGGGCACCACGGCTCGACACACGTACTTCCCTGCATCCTCCTGGCGGACGGTTTTGAGGGTCAGGGTCTTCTCATTGCTCAGGACCTAGGAGAATTGGGGAGGGTCAGGCAATGAGAGTAGGACTCTCTCTCAGAACCAGCAGGAGGGGCTGCGATGCAGGCCCGGTGGTAGGGGACGTGGCCTCCAGCATCTCTAGTGAAAACCAGGGGGGCGGTGTGGGGCAGAACGTCTTATTACCCAGTGTGCTGGGTGAGCTGTCCCGGGGAGCCCACAGCACGGAGGACCCTGTGTGGCTGAAGATGCTCCGACCCAGAGGCGGCCCTCAGGGGTGGGTGTCTGGGGGAGAGGAGAGTGTGGGGGGAGGCGGGGGCTCCCTGGCTGGGCCCCCGGAGGCTTTCTCGTCCAGGGGGGCTGCCGACCAGCCTGCACCAGGCTGGCCTCGGGTGAAGCCACCCCACAGCTGAGCTTCTCTGAGGGCCTGGGCCCGTCTTTCCCTTTGGGATGTGGTTCGGGGGGATGAAAACAAACAGGCTTTGGCATTATCTGCTCTGAGTGGAATCCCGGCCTTAGCGGTGCCTCCTTGTGCGGCTTTGGGCGTTAGTGACCCTGTCTGATGCCCCTTCCTTACCCCCGTGACGGGGCAGCGATGCCCAGAGCACCGTGCAGTACAAGGAGGAGCACGGGAAGAAAGCAGAGCTTCACCCCAAAGCTGAGAGGCAGCAACTATTTGGGGAAAGTTGAAAAGCCTTTCTAGTGACTTTTCACCCCCAGTGTCTTGGGGACCACCTGCTTTTTTTAAAGGTTCGTGATAGGGCAAAACTGCAGTGGCTGGATGTGTGTAGGGTCAAGATGGGTACGTGTGGGTGCCTGGGGTGCCCTCTCCTCTTTCTGGGTCCTTCCTTCAGCTGACACTGGTATCTGACGCCCCCAGTCTAAGAGTGAGAGGGGTCCTGGGAGGCAGTTCCTTCCGGGTTTGCGGTCCCCCCACCCCTGCAGGGTTCTTGGGGGGCTGAGCCACAGACTCACCACGCCAGAGCCCCGCTTCATCCAGACGATGGTCAGGGACGGGTTGCCTGTCCAGGCGCAGCTGAAGACGGCGTCAGAGCCCAGATCCACGAGCAGGGACTGGGGCTCCGTGGTCATCCTGGGGCCGACTGTGATGGGAGGGAGGAGGAGACAGGGCTCTTGTGGGCCAGGAGCTCTGGGGACCCTCCTGGCTGCTGCCTCCCTTCCCCCATCCTGGAGGGGAGATGGCGGGGGAGCATGGGTGCCACCTGGACCCACTGCAGCCCTTTCCCCGACATGTCAGTCCACTCCATTCTGGGCCTGGGTCTGGGAGTGGGACTTGGGAAGTAAGGAAGAGGCCCCTCTTTCCCCAAGCCCAGCCTCCCTCAGGTCTGCCAGGGGAGTAGGCGGCACCAGCCCTAGAGAAGGCTGCTCTGGCCCCATTTCTGCCTGGATTTGGCCCTGGGCTCTCTCTCATCCTCTTCCCTCTGTCCTAGCCCCAGGAAGCTCCCCTACCCCAGAGTGTGGGCAGAGGGTCCTTTCTCCTGTCTCAGAGACCTTGGGTCTTGGAATCTCTGTGTGTCTGCCTTCAGGTCAACTGCCCACCTCTGGCAGGCCTCAGCCTTGTGACCTGGAGTCGAGGTACTCATGCACCTGGCTTAGCTCCCTGGGCCCTCCCAGGTCCTCCGAGGGGCTCTGAGATAAGGAGTCGGGGAGGCCATCCTCCGAGGTACTCTCAGATCATCCTCCCCTCCAGTTCCACCAGCCTCTTTTCAACTCACTGAAGCAGGGGCGCCCCTGCTAAGTGCAGGTTAGTGGAGGCCCCCCAACTGCCTTCCCCCTACACTTGCCCCAACTGGCACCCCTGCAGACCAAGGCGTGGTCCCCAGAGTGGGTGCAGCGGTGGGATTTCAGGGGCAGTGACGGCAGGGTGTGCAGGGAGCCGCTCCCTGGGAGCAGGAGGCGTGACACCAGGGCCAGGAGACCCAGACTAGTCCCTTGGTCCGAGAAGGGAGTAGCAGCGCATCCCGCTGGGCCGCCGGGGGCGGCGGGCGGCGGGCGGGCGCGCAGGCTGTGAAAGTGCTGGTAGACCTGGGAAGGGCAGTAGGCCAGCCAACGCTTCGTGCTGTGAACAGCGACCGCGGCTCCCTGCCAGGCCGCCAGGGGGGGAGGGGGATATCTGTGAGCTCCTAATAGGAGGAAGACCCCATCTCATTCTCACTCTGCCACCTCCTTGTCACGTGACCTCGGGCCTCCATCCCCTCATCTGGGGACTGGGGATAAGAATTCCAGCCTCCCTGGGTGATTATGAGGGTCAAGATAAACACGGAACAGCACACGGGGAAGCTTTTCATAAAATGCGTGGCGCTGTGAGCTGGTGAGGCTTTGTCATCGTGCGACAAGTCCACGACAGCCCCTCCGGCCGTGAGCAGAGGCCACACAGCGCCCGCTGGCCCGTGAAAGCCCCTAGACGGCAACACTCACAGTAGACGTCGACTGTGCGGCTGATGTTGGTGCTGCCCAGGGCGTTGGTCACCTCGCAGGAGACGGGCTCTGAGAAGTACGTGTAGTCCACGGTGGTCCGGTACACCTCCCCCGAGGCCTCCTTGATGATCTGGCCCCGCTTGGCCCACCTGCAACACACGCATCCCCGGCTGTTGTGGGCCTCCAGCGGCGAGGGCACCCCTCCCGCCTGGGGACGGGCTTCTGTCTGGGAGCTGCAGGCACCCATCCCACAGGGACCGAGGCCTGGGGACGGGCGGAGGGTGCCTCAGGGGAAATCTCCACAGAGGGGTTCCTTCCAGGGCTAGGGGAGGGGTCGGTGGTGGAGGTGGTGGGCTCCGGTCCACGGGTCACCAGGCTGTCAGCGGCACTTAACAAGAGGGTTACTCTGGAGGGAGGTGGGTTGTCTTATCAGTGGGTCAGTCCACCTGGCCGGCCTGGTGATGGGTAACCCCACAGTCAGTCCCCAGACAGCTTGGCCGTCCTGCTCTGAGCTCTCTTGGGGGCCCTGTCCTGGGCCACTTTGGAAAAGAAGGAGGCCAAGTCCGCGACTGAAGAGGCCATGGTCTAATGGTGTGTGGGCATCCACGTGTGCACTCCTGCACAAGCACACACGCCTGCACACACGCCTGTGCACACAAGGGGCTCAGGAGGCTTAATTTCCCGACAAGGTGAGAAGCTGATGGAGAGATATTAGCCGTGGTTCCGGCTGCCCCTCCCTTCCCCTTGGCCAGCTCTCAAGGCTCCCCTGTCCTGACTCTTGTCCCCAGGGTGGGACCCCTCATGGTGCCCCCTCTCCCTGAAAGCCCTTTCAGCCTCCGTCCTGGGGATGGTACCTGCCCTGCCCGGCCTCTGCCTCCCACCCTGCTCCCCTCCTCGGAGGCCTGGGCTCCAGCAGCCCTGGTTTGCTTGGGGGTGGGGG